GTAATAAAGGTTTAGTTTATTTGTTTATAAAACAGTTTAATGAAACTTACAATAAATTATTTATATAGTTTTTCTGGGTTGATGTATATATCAGAGAAATTAAGGAATTCAGAGAAAAGTCAAGGAGTTATATCAAAAGTTCTATAGAAAAATAACAAATTTTTAAAATTAATACAAAAATTCTGATTTTTGAAAAACACAAAACCTTAATTTCACCTTTCAAATTTCATTTTCACATTAAAGATTTTGGAATCTTAAGGAATTTAAAAATAATTCCTGAAATTTTGCTTATATCTGTAAATGATTAAATTTATTTTAAATAAAATAAATAAAATTTAAAATAAAAAAACTCTTTAACATTATTCAGGTTAATTAATTCTATTAAAGTTATAAAAATTTTAGTTGGAAAAAATCCCAATTTTCAATGATAATTGAATTTCTTGAATAAATTTTATGGAAAAATAATCAAATTAATTGAAATTTTGTAAAATTTTCTTAAAATTAATACAATTTGTTAATTAAATACTTAATTTAAAAATTATTTAAGTTTTAAAAGATTTTATTAAAATTCTAAAATAATTGTTTTTGATCATTTTCAAAAATAAAATTATGTAACAAAATTCAAGTGTCTTAAACAATTGAGTTAAAAAAATAATTTGAATTGATTTTTACAAAGATTTATATTACAATTTTTATTAAGAAGAAAATTTTAAAAAGATTTAAATTACTTTCTTTTAATAGAAGTTTCGAAAAAATGTATTTAAAATTCTAAAAATTTTGGTTTATGAAATATTTCAATTCTCTTTTTGATAATTGAATTGAAGATGATTGAAACTTTATAAAGAAGTAATTGAAAATTTGTGAAGCAATTGAAATTTTCTAAATTCTACTAACAGTTATTGAATTTTAAAAAAATTTTATTTTAATTTTTATAAATAATCGAGGGAAGTTTGATACAGTAACTAATTTTATTTTTAACAGTTTTAATTTTTTTAGAAAGATCAGGAAAAAAGTGAAAATTTTACCTGGAAATCAGGGAAAATTTAGGGAATAATTTGTTAAAAAATTTGTTCTGTATCTAAGTTGTCAATTTAGTTATAGGATTTTTTAAAAATTTGATGCTAGAAAAATGAAAAATAAAATGAATACGAAACTTTTATTTCATCTAGAATCATTGGTTTAAATAACAAAAATAGAAAATAGAATTGTCAACTTTAAATTTCCGCGATTTAAATACGGCAGATTAATTTTTTAAACAAAATTATATAAAATTCCCTGACTTTTCCAGGTTTTCCCTGACCGAAAAAAAATTCCCTGACAATTCCAGGTTTTCCAGGACAGTAGCAACCCTGTTTTTGTTTCGGTCTATGTGTTTTTCTGTTGTGTATTGTGCCCTAACATGAAACCTTTTTTAAACGATATTCAAGTCGTGCCGAAACATGGCACTATCAGAAATATTAGATTCATTTCGTGATTGTTTGCTTGAGTATTATTTAATGTGTATGAGGTTTTTATGTTGAAATTTTATTTTTTAACTGACCGAGGACTTAGACGCTTGTCTCAACTTTTCTAAGAGTGCAATGCCGCCTATTTTTGCAGGTTTCCCGGTCTCATCGGAGGAAATTTTTCTTTTTTTTTCTTTAATTGGCTCACTTGAATGATTTAGTCGTGAAGTAGACGGCTTTGGATCGTTTTCATCTTCAATAACGCTCTTTTTATTCAGTCCACTCAACATAAAGAGAAGAGGTGTGATTTGATAATAAGTATATATGAGAGATTCTTTTTCAATCGCCCCAGCCCAAAAAGTCAATGTTCTGGGATTGGCTTCATACTTTGGTAAATTGTTGTCCTATATGATAGTAATAAATCCCTAAAATATAAACTCATTAAAAAAATATTTGTAGAAAGTAGAGGGGGTTGAAGTTTTGACGTTAAGGGTAACATTGTCATTTTCAAATCCGTATAACTATGACAAAAGTTAATGGATTTTAATTTATCTATAATGAATTTTATTGCATTTTTCACGTACTTTTCAAAAATGTATACGAAATTTAAAAAAAAAAATTTTTAACCCCTTTTTTTTCAAAATCAACCCTTATTTTTCGATTTTCACCCCTTCGGGTATTTTTTTTTTTTTTTTTTTTTATTTTCATTGGAAAGCTGAGGTTTTTTCCGATGAGCTATGTAAATATGAAAATGGGACAACAATAATTTTGTGAGTAACAGAATATTAAAGTAGGCGGTGCCGATAAGGGGTGTACCTGGAGATCATCTTTGAGGATTTAGATAGGCACCGCCTAATTTAATATTATGTTTCTCACAAAATTATTGTTGTCCCATTTTCATATTTACATAGCTCATGGGAAAAAACCTCAGCTTTCCAATGAAAATAAAAAAAAAACAAAAAAAAATTCCCGAAGGGGTGAAAATCGAAAAATAAGGGTTGATTTTGAAAAAAAAGGGGTAAAATTTTTTTTTTTTAAATTTTGTATACATTTTTGAAAAGTACGTGAAAAATGCAATAAAATTCATTATAGATAAATTAAAATCCATTAATTTTTGTCATAGTTATACAGATTTGAAAATGACAATGTTACCCTTAACGGCACCCTTATCGGCACCGCCTACTTTAATATTCTGTTACTCACAAAATTATTGTTGTCCCATTTTCATATTTACATAGCTCATCGGAAAAAACCTCAGCTTTCCAATGAAAATAAAAAAAAAAAAAAAAAAAAATACCCGAAGGGGTGAAAATCGAAAAATAAGGGTTGATTTTGAAAAAAAAGGGGTTAAAAATTTTTTTTTTTAAATTTCGTATACATTTTTGAAAAGTACGTGAAAAATGCAATAAAATTCATTATAGATAAATTAAAATCCATTAACTTTTGTCATAGTTATACGGATTTGAAAATGACAATGTTACCCTTAACGTCAAAACTTCAACCCCCTCTACTTTCTACAAATATTTTTTTAATGAGTTTATATTTTAGGGATTTATTACTATCATATAGGACAACAATTTACCAAAGTATGAAGCCAATCCCAGAACATTGACTTTTTGGGCTGGGGCGATTGAAAAAGAATCTCTCATATATAACAAATAAAAAAAATGATAAGGAAAAATTCAAAATAGAAAGTGCAAATTTCAAAATTAAATAAATAATACCTTTTTTTGTTGAATTGGTGGATAATCATCAAATTCTTCATCTTCTTCGGAAGAAGATGTAATAGAAATTGAATTCTCGGGATTTAATACGATTTTCTTCTTTTCTTTATCTGCATTTTTTTCGGCTATATTTCCACTTATCTTTAAAAGTTTCTCCTCTAAGTTATTGAGACTGCTCTCTTCTTTAACTTTTTTTAAGGTTTTAGTTAACCACGATGACAAAACCTATTTAAAAATTGTATTTTTTAATATTAAGATTAATTAATCTTCTCTTTGTTAGATTTGCATTACAAGTTTCGCGGTATTTTTTTTCATAAAATAAGTAAAAAGTCGAGACAAAGTTATGAAGAAAATTTGTAAATCACATTATATAAAAAAAATAATTTATATCTATTAAAGTTTCCATTAATTGAAATGTGTATTAATAATTGAACACTGAGACATTTAAAATTTGGTTAGAATTGCAATTTTATTAATAATTGAACACTGAGTCTTTTAAAATTTGGTTAGAATTGCAATTTTGATCGATTGAATGTGAGTTATATTTAATCTAAATGAACTGAAAATTAAGTGGATTAAAATTTCTACAAATCGAAATTTAGAACGATTAAAATTTGTATTAATTTAAATAAATTGTAATTTAAAGAATTGAAATTTAGATCGCATAATTGAGTTTTAAGCTGACGATTCAAATTATATTGAATTGGAATGTTAGGACAAATTAATAGTAAGATTTATTAAAATTGAGATGAATTAAAATTTTGATAAAAAATATAATTAATTAATTTTAATTAATTGTAAGAAGTAATTAAATAATTTTACCTTTTGCCATTTGTCGTAAGTTCGAGCGTTTAACTGGTAGTTTGATGCATTGAGATTTTTTGATAATTTCTTCCATTCTTCCTCATAATCTTCCTTCGTAAACTCTGAAGAGAACGATTTTGTTAATAGGATTGAATTTTTTTCTATTGACTCGAGAATTAGTTCTTGTTGTTTGTAAGTGATGCGTCCTGTTCGCTTTTTTGCAGCCATTCCTTTTTTAGGCACTAAAAGTTTTTATTAATTATTATGTGAGTGCATAATTGCTTTATGAATAAATTATTTTTTTCATAATTTATTAGGTAAATTTTCGTATCATCACTTACTTGGAATCTTTAGATTGAAGAAGTGTTATAATGCAACGATATGCAGCAAACTGAAGCGTTGCTAAGAAGAAATAAAATGAATATCGTTTCATAAACAAAATTTTCCGTGTAAAATTATTTTTTGTTTCAATTGTTTTCATTGTAAGTGACGTAAAAAAATTTCAGTCTGAACTTAATTTATTGAATGAATTTGGATAAAAACTATTAAAAAAAATAGTTTAATTTTTGTCGACTTTCGAAATAGTAAAAAAAATTGTTACAATTTTTGGTTAAAAATCATTATTGTTTATCAAGAAATTGAATTATATTTAAGGTTTATTAAAAATAGTTTTAAATAACATTTAGTCGATTTCAAATCTGGATATATTAAATTTAGAGTCGATTAAAATTTAAATCATCGAATGTTTTAATAAAAAATGAAAAAAAATGATTAAATAATAATGATTAATGATTCCTAGATTTAATTTAATTAATTAAAAACAGTAATATTAGTTGCACAGTTATAAGTTTTTAATTTAAAAATTATTTTAACAAGTAGATTTTACATAACAAGTAGTTTGAACGTAATCAATGAAATTATTATAGTAGTAAGTAGTTTCTAAACGTAATTAAATTTTTATTACAAAGTAGAAGACAATTATTATAACAAATGAACAGATAAGTCATTTAAATGATGTTCAAGGCGATTAATTTTTGTCATGTGAAACAACAGTTTTCAATAAATTTTGAGTTTCAGCGGTAACTGCTAACAAGTCTGTCAAAGTATCAGAAATTTTTTTTAATGAATCTGCTGATTCTTCCAGACACTCTTTTACTCCCCTATAAACTTCTTGGACCTAAAATAAATTAAAATGTTAGTATAATTTCATAAACATTCAATTTTTTTATAAAATAATTTCATTTAGAGCGATTCTAGAACGAGCTTCTTGCAACGTAGACACAACGCATCGCAATGTTTATCGCAATGGGGATTTGTCACGTCTGTGTTGCGTGAAGCCCATTTTGGAGTCGGCCTTAGGAATTTTTCTTAAAACATACTGAGGACTTTGAAGGTTGCTTTAATTGAGGACTGCCTGGTTTTTTAAGAAATGGCTTAGTCATAATTATAGATGATTTCCGTTTCTTTTTATCGATTGGCTTCGGTGCAACAGTTTTCTCATATTCAATGACGTTTTTTTCCTCCTCCTGTTTAATCTACAAAGATCGAATTATATAAGGCCTCGGATCGACTTTAGGGGTGCAAAAGAAATCGCTTTAGACTGTACTATCACTCAGGGAAAATTTTTATTTTACTTTAATCAAAGAGTTTAGTTAACCTATTTTATTTGATTCAATAAAACAGTTTTGTTCATTACATTAAAAATTTTGTTAATTCTAAAAAATGCATGAAATTTATTTTGTTTACAGAAATAAAAAATTTATTTTGAACAATGTACTTTGTTTCACTGCACCAAATAATGTAGTTAAATTCAAGTGCTTCGTGTTTAAAAAAATTATTTAGTGTCTGAAGTAAATGTTTCCCAGTGGGCACGGGGACATAGGATGTCGTTAGAACGTCCCTAGGACATCCCTAGGATGTCCACGTCCGTTCAAAAGACGTCCCAAGGACATTTTATGTCCTAAAGACGTCTTTTGGACATAAGATGTCTTCAGGACGTCTTTTGAACGGACATGGACATCCTAGGGATGTCCTAGGGACGTCCTAAAAACATCCTATGTCCTTGTGCCCACTGGGTTAAATCAAAAGTCGAGTTGATATCAGCGCAAATTTTTCAGTTTAGTATAGGTATCTATAAAAAACACAGGAAATCAAGAGATAAAATTTTTTATTGTCAATGTGATGTATTTATTTGTTTAATTTAACCAAAATTTGGTTGTTTCAAAAAACTTATTCTGAGTGCTAGATCAAAAAAAATGGATTTCTTAATTCTTAATATATTTTATTAGCTAATAAATTCTGTATTGCCTATGATATAAAATATCTTCTATATATTATTGACATTATTATTTATTTATAATATTTTGGAATTGAATCAACAAAAATTTCATTCTTTATTAAGAATAATTCTCACAAATATTTTCAACAAACATTATTTAGAATATTGCAAATTTTAATATTAATATGAATTAAAAAATTATAAATTAAATATTATTCTCATATTTTTATAAATCATTCAAATTAGAAACATCAGTTTTTCAAAATTCAATTATTTAATTTCTTCACGGACTTAATTTCTGCACGGACTTAAAATTTGACTATTTTATTTGAAGGGTTAGGAGTTTATCTCTGAAATATTTTGCCAGATTGTAGAGCTGAATTTTAAAAACAATTTTTAACAAAAAAGTGATTTTAGAAAAAAAAGGATTTTGTTGTTTTTGGACCAACTAATACAATTAAACTATTTTCAAAAAATATGAAAATTGATAGGTAATTCGAAATAATAAACCTAAACTAAAAGTAATGAAATTTCGCAATAAATTAAAAATACCTTTTTCTGTTTAGAAGGCAGCAAATCAGTTTCAAAATCTTCATCTTCCTCGGATGAAATATAATGAGAATGAATATTATTTTCCAAAATTTTCTGTTTGTTTTCGTTAAACTGTAATATTAATAGGGACACAAAAAAATTGAATGTTTTTTTTTAAAGTAATTTCTATGTTTATTTTTTATAAATAATTTCTTACCTCATTATGAAATTCCAACAAATTTCCATTTATTAATATGAGTTTCTGTTCAATAATATTAAGGTCATCACCTTAATTAATTTTTTCTAAAACTTTCCCTATCCAAGATGACAAGGCCTATTTAAATATTTGTTAATAAAATATAAAAGTAAATTAATATTATGAAAATTATGTAAATCAGGAAAAAAGAGGTTCATTCAAATGTATTAAAATGAGTATATTAAATTACAAAAATGGCATTGGTTTGGATTAAAAGCGTGAAGAAGTTTGGTCATATTTTCAATCACTTTAATGTGCTTTCATTTAGTTTTATTGAAAATAATTAAAGTGTCATCAATATTTACGTTATAAAGTGAATTAAATTGGTTCCAAACTTTCGTGGCATTGAACAGAATTAAATTGATTTCAATCCTTTCTACCCTACCGGAATTAAATTATGTACAATTTTCGTCAAGAATTGAAAAATATAAAAATGTGTACAGACGAATTGTCATGAAAGGAATTAAAACATGAAAACTAAAAAATGACTTTAGTTCGGAATTAAATGGTTTATAATTCATTTTAATTCTATAGAATTGAACCATATTTGTAATCATTTTAACTTTTTTCAATCAACCTCTTTTTATAAGGATTGTTACCTAAAGGTACACTCTCACCTCCGGCTGCCTGCACAGGCAGCCAGCAAGAACCAATCAGAGAATCAGAAGATTCAAATTTGAATTTTCTGTCTCTCTTACTCTTGGACGTTTTCAGCTTGGTGGGAGGCTGCCTGTGCAGGCAGCCGGAGGTGAGAGTGTACATTTATCATATGCGGATAAGTTTAAAATTTCTAAAATAAAATTATTTCCAAATTTTGTATCTAAAATAATGAGCTGAATTATTTAAATCTAATAATGTTAATCGAAATTTTTTTGAAAATTCAATTATTTAAAACATTTCCCAATTCAAAATTCTTCAAATTTTAATTTTTGTTTGAATATTACAAGTAATTCAATTTTTAAAAAATTGGTTTAAAATAATGTGTGAAATAATTATAATTATTGAAATAATTATAATTTAGAGAAGAATTTTAAACATATATTTTAGAAAAAATTAAAAATTTAGAAGGTATGCAATAAAAATTTTAATAAATTTAAATGCATGAAAATATTTTACAAAGTTGTAACAATAATTGAATTTTAGAGAATTTCAATTAAAAACTGTTTAAAAAATTTGAATTTACGAAGATTTTTGAAATAAGTAATAAAAATGTTTGTAAATTTGAATAAATTATTTTTAAAAAAATTCGTTACTGCAACTCTTTCAAATTCAATTAATAATTGAATGTTAATTTAATTGAAAAATTTTTGGCCATATTATTGTTTATAGAATTATTTTGTTTAAATAATTATTTCAACAATTTTAATCCAATTTTTGAAAAGTTCAATTATTTATAACGTTTTTTAATTAAAAATTCTTTAAAATTCAGATACTTTTTGAAATTTTGTAAACCATTCAAATTTATAAAAGTTTACATTGCAAATTTCCTAAAATTCAATTATTTCTAAAAATTTTTAATCAAAATCTTCTAAATTCAATTATTTTTAAAATTTTAATTAAAATTCTTTTGAAATTCAATTATATTTCAAATTTTCATCTAAAATTTTCAATAATATTTTTATCAATTTAGAAGCAACATTTTGACAAAAATAAAAAATGTGCGATTTTAAAAAATATAAAATTTTATAATTTTCCCAAAAAATTTCAGTTAACTCATATGTCAATTTTTTTACTGTTTTGTTTTTATAAACAGTAAATAAAAATAAAGAATTAGTTTTAGAACAATTTCAGATAGTTAATATTTCGATAATTATTGGTTTTTGCAAAAAACTAAAATTTTTAAACTTTGAGCCATTGTAAATTTTCAGAAATTACTTAAATAAAAAATGTGCGATTTTAAAAAATGAAAAAATTTATTTTGATAATTTGCAAATTAAAAATTTTTTTTTACTTTTGAGACAGTAAATACAAATTTTAAAAAATCAAGTTTTTCGAAATTTCAATTTTTTTTTATCAAAAATACTTTTCGATTTCGGCATTATAAAAATATAAAATTTTACAAAATTTATACGCGTAATTTTATATATGTGAATATATTTTATATATTTATTGCATATACATGCAATAAATTATTATTATTACCTCTTGCCATTTGTCTGAAGGCATAGCATCTACATGATTGTTAACTGCATTAAGAATTCTTGATAAAATCGCCCATTCTTCATCGTAATCTTTTTTGGTGAACTGTTTTGTAAAATTTTTTGATAACAAAATTGGATATTTTCTTAAGAACTCGACCATACGTTCTTGATGCTGACATGTCATATTTGTTTCCTCCTGCTTTTCAGACACTATGATACATCATGATTATTAATAATTTTGCATGTATATGTATGATCGTTTCTATTACAGTCATAATTTATATAAAACAACATTTGATGGCGTTACTTACTTATTTCAATTATAATTTTCCAGAAGCGATTCGATACGTTCCGCAGCAAACTCAAGCAAACTAAAACCGTTAATGATAAAGAAAAAGAAGATCGATTTATATAGTGAAAATTTTCCGTATAAACTGTCTTTTGTTTTAACATGTTTCTTTTAACTTCAGTGTATGAGGCTGAAGTCCGGGTCAACGTGTTGCTGCAAAAATTGAGCAATAAAAATATGATTTGAAAACAAATATTTTGGTAAACATAACCTTTTTGACTCATTTTAATAACAGTCCATTCCCGCCAAAGCTCATTTTCAAAGGCGTTCATTTTCTCCAGGGCACGGAAAGAAAAGTAATATAGTAACAGTAATAGAGTAAAGGCGCATTCAGACCTCTGCAGTCTGTCTGCCTGCAGGCAGACGGGGCAAGGGGGTCGCATGAGTGTAAGCGAGAAAGAGAATTCAAATTCAAATTTTTTTCTCGCGCACACTCTTACGTTCCCCTTGCCCCGTCCGCCTGCAGGCAGGCAGGCTGCAGAGGTCTGAATGCGCCTTAAGAGTGACTAAACCCTTTGTGCAAATCCAACTCTCCATTCTCTCTTAACTCTGGCGAGCACACTCAATATTGCAAACTGGTGAAAATGGGTTCTTTCGGGAATGAACTGTTATCTGTCATCATAAAAAAAGTTAAATATAAAGGTGAAAGCAATTGACACGAATCTCGGTTAAAGTGCAGAATAGGGGCCTAAGTCCGATGTTGTCTATGTTTAATAAAAAGGAATATTATTATTATTATATATTCCAATATACTAATGTAATTCTACAGTTTAAATCGAACCTTTTTTAAATTTAATCAAAGAAATAGTTTTTAATTTCTTCTTCTTTCCCAATCTCAAATTTGTTAAAAATTATCGTCCTTCGTTAAATCAATTTTTCGTATTTTTTAAATTGACCTTTATTAAAATTGCATTTAATTTTAGTTCCTCTTATTTCATTTTCATTTATCAGCACCTTTGTGTTTACTCCTATAAATTTCAATCTTGCAAAATATACATTTTCAATTATATCCTAACCAAGAAATATACTACAATTAATAATAATGTGTTTTAGCGAAATTATAATATATCATTATTATTACTTCTCTTTATTATTAACTAGAATTATTTTATTAACAGTCTTTCACTAAAATTTATTATGAATATCTTTTTTAAGTAATGTACATATACATAATACTTAAAAGAACATTGTTGCTCTAAATATTTATATATTCAATAAAAGCACATTAGTTTCCGGTTGACAAAATCAACAAAATATTATAATCAGCGAAAATAACAATTAATTTCATAAAAACGAAACCGCATTGATCTTAAACACTCATGTTATATGAATGTGACAACAAAAGAATGCATCGCTGAACACACTAAAGTTGAAGAATACATTGAAATAAAAGACAGTTTGTACGGAAAATTTTTAATATAAATCGATGTTCTTGTTTCTTATCAACTGTTTTTGTTTGCTATCGACTATCATTTGATGACAACGTTTTTCGAATATTAAAATTTGCAAGTAAGTAACTGCAAAAAAATTTGACATGTAAATTGTAAAAGTATTATTTATAAAAATCATGAAGATTACATTTGAAAACAATAAAAATTGTAATTTTTCAGTGCTTAAAAATTGGAAGGGACAGAGGCGCATAGGCCGCGTCACATACAAACAACAGGAACTCATTATCGAAGCTTTGGAGAAAAATCCAATTTTATTGTCAAAAAAATGTACACCGCAATTTACCAAAGAACAATATAATAAAACATGGGCAAATTTAACGAAAATTCTTAATGCAGCAAACTACCAACTAAATGCTAAAACGTGCGACAAGTGGAAAAAGGTAAAAATAATCATTCTTATACCTTCACTCTTCCTGTTCTTTCATAATAATAATAATAAATTTTTCGAATATGTCATCTTTCTTACTTGCATAAAAATTTATAATTTTCAGAAGTTCAACTCTTCATTTTCGTAAAAAGTCTAATTAAAAATATTTTTTAATTTGTATTCATTATAAATTATTGCACGCTCAAAATAAAAGAAACTAAAAAGCAAATCATTTTGAGGTTATGTTTGAAACAATTTTATCTTAATTAAATGTTTCTATTTCATATTATGTAAAATCAAATATGGTTTTTATTGGTTTTTTTATTCCAAAAAGTTTGTCAAGTTAATGATTTATTATTGGTCGCGTAAACTACTGCTTTATATATTTATTTTTGACCCGAATTATCATTTTGATAAATAGCATTTAACAGAATTTTCTTGCAAGTGACCTATTACTCAATAGAATTTTAATTCAGCGAATTTTTTGACAGAATGGTTATTTAAAAAATTTCTCTTTACCCAAATATTTTTTTTTTAATAATTCTAATTGAATAGAATTTTTAATTTAACAAAATTCTCATTCAATATAGAATTTCAAGTACTTCGAATTTTTTAATGTCATAACTAAAATAATTGTTATTAGAACGAATTTTTAAAAATATGGATTTCAATTGTCTGAAAATTAAAAGGGCTAAACTAGCAATCGAAAGAAAATTTTTGGCGTAGATTTAAAAATTTGTTATTAAAAATTATTTTAAAAAACTGATTGTTAAATTTTAAAATTCACGCAAAAAATTATTTTTTGTTAATTTGAATTGCTGTAGACATTTTATAAAATTCAGTCAATAATTGAATTGTAGAGAATTTTGAGTTGCAAAAAATTATTTAAATTATTATTTATTATTATTTTATTCATTTATTATTATTATTATTTTATTTATTTATTATTATTAAATTATTTAATTATTTCAATTATTTTTTTATGAAAGTTTTAGTTTAAAATCTTCTGAAATTCAATTATTTCTCAAAAAAAATTTTCACTCCATTTTTACAAATTTAATTAAAATTAATTGAATGTTAATCTAATTAAAAAATTTTTCTCCAAATTCTTGTCTATAAAATTCTTTGTTTAAATAATTATTTCAACAATTTTAATCCAATTTATGAAATGTTCAATTATTTAAAACGTTTTTTAATTAAAAATTCTTTAAAATTCAGTTACTTTTTGATATTTTGTAAACGATTTACATTTATAAAAGTTTATATTGTAAATCTTCTGAAATTCAATTATTTCTAAAAAATTTTAATCAAACTCTTCCAAATTGATTTTGTTTCAAAACTCCAAATTGATTCATCATTGAAAAATTTTTTGATGTATTTTTATTAGTGATGCACGACGAGAATCTATTCTTTCATAAAAGAAATAAGAGGAAAAAATTACATTCATTTGTTTTCATTGTGTTTTTCACAAGATTCTCGTTTTTTCGAGCGATTTCTCGCTCGAATGTATCACTAATTTTTATGTTTTTCGACCCTAGGAATCCAAAAATGACATTTTTAAAAAATGTCGTTCCATATGTGTATGTATGTGTGTACAAGCATAAGATTTTCATAAATATCTCGAATACTTTAAGAGTTAACGGGCTTAATTTTATTTAAAATTTTACATCTCAACGGCTGTCAAATAATAAGAGTACTTTGACCCAAATTAATCGAGTTAAACTAATTTTTTTTTGCATTTTAACATTAAAAAAAAATTTTTTTTTGCCCTTAACTTTAAAAAAAATGTATTGATACCTATGGATATTTTTTTATTAAATTTATAGAATTTTTCAAGATGTATATGAAGAGCTTTTCAAAGCGAATATTTGACCAATTAACGAACATTCTACAGTAATTATGTTCAGAGTTATTGACATTTTTAAATTGAAAAATTTTTAAAAAACATTTTTTTTACATTATTAAAAAATCTTTATATAACTTTATAATTATCTAAAAATATTTTAAAATGCATCGATTGACCTATTTACGAACCTTTTACTCGAAAATTTTTTCGAAGTTATTAATGATTATAATTCTTTTGAAAGCACAGTTCCGTAAAGAGAAATTTTGTAAAATATAAATTCGGTACTTTAATCTAAGAGACCGTTTATTTTTAATAATGATGCTTTTATATAAATGTTGCATTTTTTTAAATATGATGACTCTACAATTAATACGATGATTTTTAAATAGGTTCTATCTTCGTGGTTAAGAAAGATTACAAAATATGATTTGGAAACAGCTAAAATCAGTTTATTAGATGAGAGGCTTCTGACAATTAAAAATAATTTTCTAAAATCTGATAAAAACGTAAGTAATTTTTGAAAATACAATAATAAAAGGTAAAATTTTCTTTTTAACAAAATGTTTAAGTTTTTGATTTTTGTATTATACTGAATTATAACTATTATAGCTTGATAAAAGAGAAAATAAAAGGTCAGACAAAACAAGTGAATCTTTCAACATTTCATCAAATGAAGATGTAGATTTTGACTCTGATACTTCGTCAATAAGCGAAACAGAACCACTTCCTAAAAAACAAAAACGTGCAAATCGGGTTACTTGTGAGCAACAACAACGATTATTAGAGTATATTGAAGAAAACAAAACACTTTTAACTAAAAAGTTTACTAGGCATCTATCAAGAGAATTGTATAATCGAGAATGGAAGGAGATTGCTATGGAATTAAATAAATTGAACAATGGAAGAAGTACCAAGACTGTGGCACAATGGCAGAGGGTAAAATATTTTTAATTTAATTCTTTATAATATATGAAGAAAATCACGAGAAATGGTCAAAGAGAAAAAATGGTTTTTTCTGAATTATTTTTTTTTAAATTAAAATGAATTTTTTTATTAAAATCAGTTTCTACAGCTTTTTTTATGCTCCTTTGATTGGTAATATGCATTAAAAAAAATGTAACCAAAAAAATGAAATTCCAAAATAAATTTGATGCTACTTTTTTTAAACTGAAGCTGAGGTTTTTTCCTATAAGAATAGTTATAGTTAAAAATAGTTAAAAATGTGGGACTAGAATTTTTAGAAATTGAAAAATAGTAAAAAATGATCAAAAATAGCCAAAAAAAGAAAAAAATGTTAATTATCCATATTTTAACAATTTAGTCCCACTTTTTCAACTATATATTATTGTAGGAAAAAACCTCAGCTTTTGTTTTAAAAAAACTTCATTTTAGTCTTATTTTTTACCCCAAAAAATTTTATTTTATTTTTGAATTTTATTTTTTTGTCAAAATTTTTATTTTCTAAAGTGCATATTACCAATTGAAAAAACATCAAAAAAATTTTTAAAACTATTGTTAATACATTTTTTTATATTACAAAAAATTATTAACTTATGAGGTCTACCGTAAAAACTAGAGGTGTGCAATAACTCGAATTTTACATGGACTCGAAATTCGAACCGAACCGAGTCCATGTTAATTCTTATGGAGAGAATCGAATTTTTGACATTTGCACAGCTCTAGTAAAAACCCAAAACTTTCAACTTCTCCCCCTCGGAAAATATTGGACTAAATTAAAAAATATTTATACACGGAATGAAATATCGGCCTATTTTCACATGAACATCTGATGCAAATAATGCACTTATACACCTATGCGTAATTTGCTTGAAATCCATGCCAAAATCGGATGGATTCATGTACAAATTACAAAAGCTATGCATTTTTCGCACCATCTGTAGTAACTTTTGCATACTAAGTTCATGGAAAAATTTAGTCGAAAAAGTCCATGGGGTAATAGCACGAAATTTTTTTCCTTGTATGAGTACTATAAAATGTCTCGATTTTAAACGTGATTGGAGAAAAAATTGTTTTAACCGTGACCACTTGGCGTGATATCCCCTATTTACACCCTATTTTAATTTTTATTGTAAATGCAAAATTTTTTTGTCCTCTTTTTTAAAGTGTCATTTTTATATTCTTTTTAAACTTAATTAAGAGAATGATGAAGTTAACAAGGTTTATGGTCAATGAGTTTCCAAGAATTTTTTTAAATGAAAAATTCTATGAATTCAAAAATATCAAAAATATTTTTTGTCATGTTTATTGATAAAAAATTAGAAAAAAAATTTTGTAGGTAAAAATTTGTATAATTTTCTGTCTCAAAAACATTTTTTTAATCCTTGATTATAAATGTTGTTGACTTCATTACCGTAGAATTTTCTTGTCGTTGGTACCTTAAACCAATTTTCGACTTCAAGAGTTCAATTAAACTATAAAAGATAAAATAATTAAACATTTAGAGTAATATGTGAGCAATTCCACGTAAAATTTACCTATGACAGTTTTATGAATTTAAAAAAATCTGTGTTTTTAGAGTTAAGAACACTTTGCAAAAAGTTTTAGAGTTGTCCTGGTGATTATTTTTGTTAAAATAATTTGTGTAAAACACATTTTTGTTCTTTTTCAATTTTTTTTATTTATCAAAATAAAGTGTATTTTAGTTTGCTTTTCTATAAGTAAAGTAAAAAATCTTACTAACCGAAAAACCTTTTATTTAGAAAAATAAAAAACAAAAAACTTTTTAAGCAAATTATTTAAACAAAGAAAATTATCAGGATCACTAAGATTTTAAAAAATTTATAACTCAAAAATTTGGGCTCTTATAAGGAAATATGTATACCGTTTATTCTGCGCAGAAAAAAAATATTTTTTGGAATTTAAAATGACATAGATGAATTTCACGTGGAATCGCCAATATGTACGTAACAATTAACATGTAAATGTTCGCCATATTTGTTAACATTTTCTCACTCATTTTCTCATCTTGATGATATTTTAAAACTAGTTTGAAAAGTGTTCATAGTAACAACAACTAAACTTTGTATTCAACTCTCTGTTCTAGTCATTTGTACTATAGTACAATACTGCCGTACGATGTAAAAACTCGGTTAAGTCACATTGTAGTTAAGGATTATTTTTGCGCAGTAAACTCTGTGAATATCGTCCTAAGCAACAATGTAAGTTAACCGAGTTTTTACATCGTACGGTAGAATATTATTTACTAAGAATTAAACAAGCGTTTACATAACAAGATATATTTTTATTATACCTTGTAATTAAGAAATACAATGATAGATATCAACCACTAAGGTATTGCCAACGACTGAGGCAATTACTCCATAACTTAGCGATTTTATTGAACCTTTTCACAATGACAAATTTTATTTTAGAAATTTCTTAGTTAACCAAATTTGCATTTTATTTATTAATTTATTATTAATTACTTTATTACCAATCTAAAGTAAGATTTACAAAGTTATTATCTTCTAAAGTTTTTTATCACTGATTATGAATCTATAAAAATGTTCATAATCAATTATCAAAAAAGCCCCTAGTTTCATTTTTTATAAAAATTTATGCACTTTTTGAATTCCTTTATATTTTGGGGTGGTTACTTTGGATTTCAAAAATCTTAGTTCAAATGGGTAATCAGGGACTAAAAAACCCTTATTATTATAGAATTTTTTTATTTTAATTTCTTTTACTTTAAATATTAAGAATTTTTTTTATTGTAATAGGCGTTTAATAAAATTTTGATTGTATTTACTTTATAATGTAAATTGATACTTTCATACATTGTCATAATAAACATTATTATTAAAAAGGTTTTGTCATCCTGGGTATCAAAAACTAAAACTAAGTTAACTGATATAAAACGCTGCAAAAGAACTACGGGAAGGGGAAACTTCACTCAAGGAAACGTAAGCCTCACTGAGCTAGAAGATCGGCTATTAGCCGTGAAAGGAATGACGAGTGTACAAGGAGATGGCAAAACCAAAGAGATTGGTCTGTCCGAATCTGACGCGAGTGATGATGTATATATACCTATTGTAAATTTTAGAATCTAAATATTACTTACCTCGAAAATAATCATTTTTTTCTAAAAATTTATATTTTTAGTCTGAATTGGAAGATAATGATTTGATGGAAATCTCACCAAACAACACAGAAATCACCACTAACCAAAAACTTGTTGGAGATAAAAAGCAGAAATTATTAATTTGCAAAACACTACCATATCGTGAGAAGGATATTTTAACTTCCGTAGATAACATAAGAATGTCCTCAATGTCTTCAGTATGTATCAATCAAATTATACAAATTTTACAAAAAATTAATTTGTACTGGATCTTTTAAAAACAAATAGTGAACAAAGAGAGTGTTTTTTATTTAATCTTGAAAGTTATGTAAGATTCCATTTTTAAATTGTTTTTAATGCTCTTGAGATTCTTTTTTCCTTTGAGATAGAAATTTTTTTTAATTTCACTCAAACTTGAATTTTACCGACTGTTCGATTGGTCGTTTCTTAAATCAGCGAAGCAAACTACCTTAAATAGACAATCCTCCTGCATTCAAATGCTCGAGTCACCCCCTTACACTTGATCTTTACACAATTATTTCGATTTCGAAAATCTTTTAAATACGCCTCAGTAAAATTGAAGTTTGAGTTTAATTACATTTTGATGAAAGTTTTCATTATAAATTTTAAAAAAGCCATTAAAAATATTCTGAGTACAATTCATTCATATCAATATTTACTTCCAGATCCAAGAAGTGAGTAAAGAGATGAACGAGAAATCAAACTTTATCTTGAAACAGATTTTAGATACTGTGACAAAATTATTATTAGTTGCGACAGAAATACTTAAACTGCTGAAGAAAATCATTTCTAACTAGAATAAAAAATCTCCTTATTAATTAACTGTTACCTATTCGACGATTTAATTGTATTAACATAGCTTGAAACATGACTTCACATATTTTTGTTGTTTAAGAACTTAAATTTTTAAAAAACATATCATTTTCCAAATATTTATTAAATATGTTAAGCTGAAAGTTTTTGAAAATTCATAAAATTATACAACCATTTTAGATATTTCAAACAAAATGCAGTACTTAATTGATCTATAAAAGTGTTGTATCTTTTTCCTTTAAATATCGAAAATTCCAAACTATACTGTTAATTCTGATTTATTACATTTTTCTTGTAACTTTCAATTGAATAATAATAATTAAAAAAATTGAAGTAAATAAAAATTTTTATAGTTAAAAAGTATATCTGACAAAAAAAATTTAAACTAACTGTCATAAACCAAGTGAAAAATCATTATCTTTAAAAACTATGTTATTAAAAACTAAATATTATTGAATATTAAATAATTAAATATTATTAAAAACTATTTTACGGTAAGAAATAACAAAATGACATCTTATGTTTAAACTAGTCTAGCAGATATTGATGCATAATTGATAGATAATTATACTAGAACGTTTATTATTATTTTAAATGATAATTATTATTATTACTGTAAAATGCATTATTTATCTTTGAAACTTCTAAAAATTTATTTTAATATAATTATTTTTCTTTTTCTGAAATTAAGAAATAATTATTATAAATTTATTTCTAAGTGGTTTGAAACAAAATAATTTTAATAATTTTATTATATTATTGTTATATTATATTTATTGTTAGTACGATAAATGATAATTATTGATATTAAGTGTATTGTTATTTGGATAAGATTTAAATATTGACAGTTGATTATTTCGAATCAATCAGTGAATGTAATTTTATCAATTACAGATAATATTTATTTAATTATTTTATATAATATAAACATATATTCTTATATTTATATATATGTATATATATATATATATAATATAATTTAAATCAATTATATATATAATTAATTAAAAAACATAAATATATACGTTTCAATATATAAGTGTAAAAAATCGATCAATTTTTTAATACTTTATTAACTTCAAATTTGTAAAAATTACATGTCACCAAGGTAACGAAAATAAACAAAAAATTCATTTTTAAATATTAGTCGATGCAATTAAGAGTTTGTGACAAAAGTTTGACAAAATCATTATTTATTTAAATTGTCATAAAAATTTGAATACTTTGTGTCATTTTAAGAAAAGGTAAGTATTTTCTATATTTTGTATAATTATAATTATTAATAAAATTTTTTCTCAATATTATATTTAACGATTGTAAGATTTAATTACAATAATTCATGCTTCAGAAATATAAAAACACTTAATTTTTTAAAACATTAATTCACAACTGTAACGGTTATATTTTCAATTAATTATCAGTAATATATTTCGGTTTTATATTTTCTTAAAAAAAAATAATTTACACGTAAATAATCCTTGACAAGGAGATAAACTTTATCTGATTTTCTGTGTTATTATTTTCATAGATGCTACCTGCTAATTGGGCTTTAATTAATTATGAAAATGAGCTTCAAAAATTGGAAGAGATTCGGAGAAGGGAATTTCGTCAACTTCATTTGAAGCATATTGCTTTACGTATAAACAGTGATCCATTTACACTACCAGAAAAGAGATTTATTAATTTGTTTCGTCTTAATAAATATATGGTGCAGTTTATAATTATCACCCTAAAACCACACATGAGAATGTGTGCAAGATTTAATGGCATTGAACCAGAGTTACGAATTTTCGCTGCACTTATCTTTTATGGTACGGGTACTTATCAAAGAGTAACAGGCCAATCGTACCTCACCTGCATGTCTCAATCATCGATTAGCAATGCAATACATGGGGTGACAGAATTAATTAATTTATTGTTGGCTGACGAAATGATAAAATTTCCAAGAAGTGAAATCCAGAAGCAGGAAATATCTCAAGAATTCGAAGAAATTATTGGGTTCCCTGGTATTATAGGTGCCGTGGACTGCACCTTTGTTGCTATAATAAGGCCTATTAACGAAGAACATAATTATGTAAATAGACACCAACAACATTCAAAGAATGTTCAAATAGTAAGATCTTATTACATTAATAATATTGAATAGTTCATTTCAAAAAGTGCTGAATTCAGTTCTTTTTTTGCTTTAATTTTTCTTTTCTATAATTTTTGTATAATTACTAACTATTATTTTATATAAATAATGTTAAAATAGTTCACTCAAATAAGAGTGGGTTAGAGAAAATTTTTATTACAGCCTTTTAAGTTTTTAATCTTTTTACTAATAAAACGGCACTAACAAAGAGTCTTGCTACGGAGAAATACAATTGTTACTTGTTTATTAAATTTTACATATAAAACAATTTTATTTATAGATTTTTGACATCAAATTGCGAGTTTTAAGCGTTAATGCCCGTCATGCCGGGAATACGCATGATTCCTTTATTTGGAAAAATTCTGCTATCAGGAGAGAATTACAACGGAATTACGAAGACGGACAAATATGGAAAGTACTGGCAGATTCCGGCTACCCTTTAGAGCCATGGACTCTAACACCTGATCTTCATGCGCCATTCAACTCTTCAGCTTGGCGATACACACAAGCGCACGCAAGAGCACGAAACTGCGTCGAAAGGGGCATTGGAAATCTTAAATTAAGATTTAGATCAATAATGGAAGAAAGAATTCTAAGATATGATCCTGCTTTCGTTGGTCTTCTTGTCAATGCCTGCTGTACCTTACATAACATATGTAAATTCGGTGGAATGGCAGATTTTCCAGTAGGGAATATCAGGCACAGAAATCATCCCCCTTTAAGGCAAAGAAACAGACTTCATGCGGAAGGATTAAGAATACGCCAAGATATTATTAACAGATACTTCTGAATATAGTATAAGTGGAAGAAGTGAGAATTCTAAAACGAATAAGCTCATTATCACAAGTGACGTCGAAATATAAATATTCATAAATCGTAATACCTTGAAATTTTGATAAGTAAAATTTACGATTAAATCAATATAAATATAATCTCTTAACAATTGTCTTTACCTAATTGTATAATTCAATAAATTGAAAATTATTTTCAGTTTTATTTTTCTATTATATAGATTCAATACTATATGCCTCCGATTGTACATTTTCAACTTTTTTTAACTTCTTTCCATAAATGCAACTTTTTTCGACTTATTTCAATAGGATTCAACTCTTTTGATTTGTTTTGTAAAAAATGAGATTTATTTCAGATTTTATAGCATAAAAGATAACTGATTTATTTATTAAATTTTTAATAATAAAACTAGACATGAACCAAAAAAATAGTTTCGAATATTTTTTGAAAATTAATTTTTACGTTAGATTTTTTTTAATTTATTATTTAAAATCTTTAAAATTTTTTCCACATATAAATTTTTTTTATTATTTGTCTCAACAATTTATAAATAATTGTTCTTAAATTAAATTAATTCACGACTTTTTCGACTTTCTTCAATTAATGCAAATACTTTTATTTATCTAAATAATATGTGACTTTTTCGACTTTTTAAAAACAGTTTTGAAACAAAAAATACGACTTGAAAAAAATTACATAAATAATAATAAAATAAATAAATATCTACTATAAAAATTTTACATTAAATTCTATAATTAATACTACAATTTACTATATTCATAAGTATCTGTTAATAAAATTTACCTTTTTCCAAAATTCAGTTATTTAAATTAATATTAACTTGAATTCTTCGCAGAATTAATTATTTCTAATAAGTTTAATCAAGATTTTCGAAAATCTAATTATTTTAAACCTTTTTTAATTTAAAATTCTTTAACATTCAATTATCTTCTGCCTGATTTTGTTTTACTTCAAAAGCAGGGGGCCAGTTTTTAAAAAATCAAAAAACTAAATTTTCTTAAAAAGATCATTTTATATTTTCATGAAAATGTTTTTGTGGATACTAGAAAAAAAAGAATTTTTTCACTAAAAGAAGCGGTTTTATGTTCGCTAATATAAATATATAAATTCTGACTGCGTTTATGTGTGACAAATTTCCAAGCTCTCTGAAGAATGTTTATTATTTTTTAAATATATATGTTTTCAATAATATCTTCAGTAAAACCATTTATTTTTTCTAACAAAAAATATATTAATTAAAAAGACAAAAATAATTTCAATTAATTTTCCCAACTAAAAGATGGCATTGTATCAACCAAAGTAACGACTTTTAACATTTTCAGAATAAAAAATAATTTTTGCGATTTTAGCGACGTTTTAGTGGATACCAAAACCTATTTGTAAGAGTTCTTTTTTATTATCTAGTAACCCCAAAAAAATTTTCAAGTTAAGAAAAAATTATGTTTTTTAAGAAAATCAACTTTTTTGAGTTTTAAAAAAATAACCGCCATTTTCTTAATTTCCAAAAAAATTTTAAATTCTAAAGATATGGCGCTACATTACACAAAATAATTAGTTTTGTTATTTTCAGAAAAAATTGGTGTCTGAAATTTGTCGCTAAATTAATTATTATTTAAATTATTTTAATATAATTTTTCAAAAATTGAATTTTTCAAAAAATTTAATTCTTAAAATTTTAACTGCAACATTTCCAAATTTCGAATTATTTCGAAAATTTTTACTAGGAACATTATTTTTTTTTATAATATTTTGATTAAATTGTTCGAAAATTGTATTAATTAAATATATTCTTATTGAGGAATTAATAAAATTTATTCCTATTTTTAATTAATTTACTAACTAATTATATTTATAAAAATAAAAAATCGACCTTTCTTGCAAAGCAAATCGACATTTTTCTACTCACGAAATTTTCTGAAAATTCTACAAATTTACTAAAGATATTATATTATTAAGGAATAAAGGAAGACCAAAAATAGAAAGTGTTGTAATTTTTTGTAAAACGGATATTTTGAAATTGACTTGAATAAATTTAAGAAAATTTTGTGTCTACTAAATATAGCTGCTAGAGTTTTTCTTATAAGTTACAATATTTTTCACAATAATTATTGTTTGTGATTGAATTTTATCTAAAATTAATATTTTAGTATTATCAATTATAATTATGTAATACTAAATATTGTATTATTAAATTATTATTCATTTTTAATTCATTTATTTTTTCTTAAATAGAGTTTAATTAATAATTTAGAGAAGTAATTACATTTTTTCTGTTATTTAATTTATAATTAATATTTTATTAT